GCCTAAAATCTATCAGAGTTATGGTTCGCTTTTGTTGCCTGGTGTAGTTCCCCAATAGGAACAGACTAATACTCGATTATGTCTTGCCCGTAATGAAGTACACTATGAATAGTAGCTGTTAAGACCTCTGCTTAGATATCGTTCCAAGACGTGCACTGAGACCGGAACAATTCTGTTTAGAAGGTGGCTACACTTCCTTTCATGCTTGTTCATCGAAGACGATTGAAAATAACATTTTGGCATCTCCCTCTGGCTAAGCTAATAGCATCAACCAAAGATCACCACACCCCATACCCCACACCACACTCTCTACCCACTTTGTTGGCGGGGGGTATCTCACTTTAGCATAATCCCTGCTTAATTGCTGCTCGGTTTGAGGCACACACAAATGACAACCCTCCGCCACTAACCCCACTCCACCCAACCAACGAACCGACCGGTACAGGCAACCCCTCCCCCAATCCCTTTGAACCGAATACTCCCAAGCACCCACCCTCTTCACTACGCCCCTCTTCAGAGTCATCGCTTGTATTGTTTGCCCGGTTTGGCCCTTTATTTTACTGCCTCGTCGTGGCTGTCAAAACGGATACACACCAGCATACACTTGGCCCAGTATGTAATCTTACACCCGTCTCAGAGTATAGCTTAATTCGTCTAAAATAACAATTAGATTTTATATTTCTATGGAGTTATTTTCCGAACATTTTTTACCGAGACACTACCATTCCTGGTGCCCACAAAATTATATGCGTACTTACCACGAACTTTCTTGGCTAAAGAACATTGTTCTGAGTACGTGTACGGATACAAGTTGCACCGAGTGTAGCCCGCAGAGAGCCACCGAGAGAGTGCGAAACATTCGTACATACATACATACATACTACATAGACAGTCAGTCGTTTGGGGCGGTGTATTCAGTGATAGGGTGTAGCAGTCATCGACACGGAATAGCGGGGGGGGGTGTCGACAGCGACAGTATACATATACATCCAAATATACATACATACGTACACATGTAGCTGGAGGGCTTGATACAGAAAAGTTGATTATTAATTATGAGACGAAATGGATGATAACTGCTGTCGAAAATAGTTCTCTTTTTCGCTTAGAAAAGAGAGGAGAGTTTGGACACCTGACTATCTTAAGGCTTGGTCGTGTGATTAGACAGAGTGTACCTAAATGCGCAGAGGAAGCAGGAAGTGGGGGAGCAGCAGACAAACCAATAACAAACATAACAAAACGAGCGTGCAAAATTCGTTTAAGTTGTACAGAGAGCTCGAATGCATGAGAAGCTGGTGGAGAGGAGTGGGCAGGAGTAGCGGCAACGGCATAGGGCAAAGCCAGTGGCTGAATCAGAGGCTGGTCTGGTGCATTGGTGATGACACAGCAGCAGAGCAGTGTTTGTTGGTGGTTGGACAGGGAGGCACAAACATATTCATAGTACTCCTCAGACACATACACACAGACACATTCAAAAAATTATACAAAGCAGGGACACGCGGCGGCTCTTGGCTTAAGCAACATTTGATTGTCGGGCGAAAACCAGTATAATTGCACAAACACACACACACACACAAAGAGGGACACTGTGCTGTGTGAAGTTAAGGGCGCTGCGCTGTTAATGCGCTCTCTTTAGCTTAATTTTTGGGCCGCAGGAGCAACAAACACGCAAATAAAAAAGCAATAACCAAATGGGAAGCTAAAAACATTATCAGCAAACGGATGGTCATCACGTCACACTTCCAGACGCTAGTCGCCAGCGACGCAGCCAGCAGCAACAGCAGCTCCCACGCGGCCGAAAAGCAAAAATATGTTCCTTCATTTGTTTGTGTGTTTGACCTCGTCGTTGTCGTCTCTTTAGCAGTCTGGCTCTCTTTGCTTTGCTTGTGTGGCGTTCTCTTGCCAGGCCTGGTCGTTTTGTATGTTTTTCCCTCTTTGCTGTTGGCCGTCCGTCGGCTAGCTTCCGCCCTTGTTTGTGCGTGTGTTGTAGCGGCGGCGGCTTGTGGGTATGCTTGTTGAGTGAGAGGAGCGTTAAGATGGATCCGTGGGTGAGAGGGGGGCCACTGCCTCTTTTGGCTCTCAGGCGCAATGACTTTGTGGGACATTGGCAGCGACGCTGACGTATACGGTGGCGTTAGCGTCGTCATTGTTGCGCGGCCGTTTAACTTTGTGTCTTGTCTGTATTAGGTGCATACATACAGGCATACGTTTGTACATGTGCATGTGTGCGCGTTGGAGTACGTGTTTGTGTGTGCGTTTGCTATGGTCTTATTTCAAGATAATCGTCGCACGTGCATACGTATGTACATATGTATGTAAGCCTATACATAGATAAGTATGTACGTGTACGCGTACATATATATGTTTGTATGAGTGAATCTGTGTTTTTGTAACTTAGCGGTTTTCTTTTGTGGTTGTTGTCATACTTTTGCTGCTTAATTTTATTAGTTTTTTTTCGTGATTCGCTCTTCACTTGTTTTTCCCTTTCTTTTGCTGGATTTTTATATTGAAATTGTATTTAACCCATTTAGCCCCCGTCCCAGTGTGTGGGTATGCGTGTGCCAGCGAATGCGAATTCTTTGTCAACAGGTTTTGACCCAAATGCAAAAAAATTTAAAAATACAAATAACCATTTTATGAAAGCACAGAGCACAGTAAACATGCACTATTTATTGTATTAATATGCTTGCATATTGAAAGGCTTTCGTCACTAGATGTTAACCTCGTGGAGAGGTTTTCTCTTATTGATTCTTTAATTACGCTCCACACTCCATGCTGAAGCTGATCTTGAGCAATTTCGAAATTCCCAAAGTCAAAATAAAATCAACAGACGCTCAATGCGAGAAAAATTGAATTTGTTTGCTTAAACAAAAATTACTTTGTTTTCGACACACACACACACACGCGAAAACGAAGCAGCGGCATTCCAGTCGCAGCTGGTGCGCTGCGGGCAGAGGCAGAAGGTAGAAGCATCGGCAGAGACGGAGCAGTAGCCGCAGGCAGAGAGCTATAATTTGTTGATCTTTGAAATTGAAATGAAAATTGACAAAAACAACAACGTCGCGACGTTGCTCATCAACAGAGCAGGGCGCAAAACAGAGAGACACAAGCAGCGCTGCTCTGCTCCCGTCTTCGTTTCACTTCCGGCATTTCTCTTGCTCATCTCAATTGTTGTTGTTGCTGTTTTTTGTTATTGTTAACACGACACGTACCGTACTGCAACAAAATGAAAAATGCGTTTTGCGAAACCTGTTGGGAGAAAGAGTCACAGTAAGAAAGAGTGAGATAAGGGAGAGAGATGGGGCAAGATAGAGCGCAGAGGTAAAAACAAATTAAGGAAAATGAGAAACATAATTAGAGGGAATACTCGTGCTTATCAGCTGGCGCAACCAGGCTTATGGACTGCCACTACATACGGGTACATGCATATGTATGTATACATACATAACATGCATAGAAAATGCTTCCTACCAAGCGTTGATCCAAATCCAAATTTTATGTACGAGTGCCTGCGAGTGTAAAAAGAAATCAAACGGAAAATATGCCAAGAATTTCCCCCACACCAAATGCTAGAGAATGGAGCTGGAAGTTACTTTACCGAAAATGAGTGCCAATGAGTAGGGTGCTGTTTCCCCGGGGGGTGGCAGGGAAGCAAATAAAAATCAGTCGAATAAGGCATTTAGAGACACTCGAAAGTCAAACACACAAAAAAAACCGTAAAATGTTTGCTTCACGCCACGCCACTCACCGAACGCTCCGTAGTGGGGAAAAGGGCAATGGAAATAAAAGAGAATGAAAGCGAAGAAAAGGGGCGCACACATAACATTTTGTGTTACAGTTTCAATTTAAAAGGAAAAACGTTTCCCACACGCACCATAACCCATGTACATACATATGTATGTCCATATGTATGCACACTCAGTTACACACACACAAACGCGCATCAAGCGGCTTCATCATCAATTTCTAAATGCAAAACCGCAATAAAAAAAAAGAAAGAGAAGAGACGAAAATCGAGTCAAGTCCGACACTCCAAATTGGATGCTCTTGTAATATTTGCGAATATTTTTCCGATTACTGAATCCATTTTTATGGTCTTTAGTATACATATTTACACAACATGTAGTTGTAGTTGTACAAGTCATACAAATTGGCATTAAATGCATATTTATGGATTAAAATTAACTAATGTTCGCTTACATTCTGCATACCAACCACAATAACGCTTTCAATCAATATGGAAGGGTGTCCACTGACTATTGTAGCCAAAGCACTCAAATCGAACAAAGTTGTGTCGTGGAGAGCAGAGAGCGAGCAAGAGCGGGAGCGAGCAAAATGTTGCGCTCTGTTTCGGGTTTTGGTCCGAGGCTAACCAACGACCATCGGTCGGGTATGGCTCGGGTAGTTGTTGTTTATGGAGGGAGGGGAGGGCCAAATGACAGCGCACGTGTAACCGTAAAAAGAGTGAAATAGTAAGGGGGAGGTGGGCAGGGTGAAGTTTGCGAGCGTGTGTGCAAAATAACCACCCAACTAAGATGGTTGACAAGATAATTTTTACCCTGGTCCCCCTCATGAAATGACATTATACTTTGCTAAGCTAACTGACTAGCTTCAAAAACGGAGACAGCTTCGAGGGAAAAGCATGCATTGAGCATGCAGAAATGATCAATTCTGCACCATCCACAGCCTAGAATTGGATAATGCGCTACGAACACCATACGTCAAGTACACACACATATGCCAGTTTACTCGCGTGTGTGTGTGTGAGTGTGTGTTTATACCCGTGCAAGGGGGGAAAGCGGAATATATAAGGGGTATCAGCCATGAGACACTTTCGAGCTTTGACTGCCAGAACGACCGAACCCCTGCACAATCTCTTAGCGAAGCGCGGGAAGTGGAGTGGCAAGTGATTAACCGCAAACCAAATATTTTGACTCAGTCAGCACTTTAAAGTCAATGTCAGATAGAGACACACACACACATAGATGCGTAGATATGTATGAATACTTTTTGGGGCATTAGCCTCAAGATAATTTGTTTGATATGCGATTTAAAGGTTGAAACTTATTCAAGGTTATGTTTATTTTAGACGCAAATTATTTGGGGCATTGGCCGGACATCCATATGACCATGCTGGAAACCAAACCAAGCCCAAAACCTTTAGCACGGCATACAACCCGCTATCTACCTGCATATACAGTATGTATGTACATTCATACGTGCATACATACACACATATTTATGTATCGCTTTCTCACGCAGTGTGGATCATCAATCAAGCATGTTCGGTTCGTCTTTCGGTGTGCTCTGGTTCGACTCGATCGCATCGCATCGAACATTGCTGTGAATACAGGCGGTATTGCCATCAGCTGAGCTGCATTTAAATTGCGGTACTTTGGTTTTAGGTCTTGTATACTCTACAGTGACATATGTACATTTAAATGTAGACGTAATACATTTAAGAAATTGTGTACCCAGTGTGCCTACTACCAGAGAAATTCCCCATTGTGTACTGTCGAAGTTTTTCTGTTCAGCTATTGGGGCGTCCGGCTGTCGTATCTATTATGTATTTATGTAAATAAAGAAAGATGTATGCACGTATGTATGTATTTACATACTGACAAGAAGAGTTTGTTGTGTCAACCGATTCTTTAAGGCTGTGGTGGCTTTTCCATAATGTGCAATTTTACTGCATACATACACACATACACATGTATGTACTTATCTACATTTGTACATTCGTTTTGTTTTGTTGTAAGACCCCCACGAAATAAAGTCAGCCTCTTGAACGAACACACACAAGTGTGCAAAAGCAAATGTAGAAACGGGAACAACAACAACATATGTACATTGAAACGTATGTACATTTGCATATACATACGTACATAAATATATCCCCAGCGTAGCATACATTTTCAATGTCACGTATTGCTGTTCAATTTCTGTTGCTTTCGCCCTACAACTCTCCCACTCTCGCACACACACACAAACACACCGCAAGAGAGTCCGCGTCGTCTTCATCAGCAACTTAATTATTAAATTAAATGCGCTAAATGGCAGCACACGCAAGTGCTAATAAAACAAAATACGAAAATAAAGAAGAAAAACCAAAGCAAAACACACGCAAAAATCCAATGGAGTGTGGCGAAGAGGGAGTGAGTGGAAGCGCCACATGCTGTCTGCTTACAACCTTGTCCGTTAAGACCTGTCCCCGTCGCTGTCGCAGTCGCTTTCGGCACACCGATCCAATCCACTCCCACTCGCACTCGCACACACACTCTTAAGCAGCACAACGAACGAACCCTTCGCAATTCAAATAAAATTATACGCTCTCGTTGGCTCTCTCTCTTTTCTTATTTCTTTGCGTCACCCCGCCGCTCTTTGGCTGAATATGCGCGGTGTTTTTACTGCTCTTTGGCTTTGCCTTTGGCGCTCGTTTTTTTGCTGCTCTTTGGCTCTGGCTCTGGGTCTGGCTCTGGCTCTGCCTTTGGCGCTGTTCAATTTTCATTGCCTTGGCTTGGCAGCCTGCCTGCCTGACTGACTTCTTCCCATCTTCAATGCTTTTTTATGGCTTTAATGGCCATAAAGCCGCTTTGGCCGCCAGCTGTTGGCTGTGTGTTGGCCTGGCGCTGCCCCTGCTTCACACCCCGCTCCAAAAACCGAAACGAAGACTAAGATGTCTGACAAAAGATGCCACAAACTCAAACACACACACATACGCACAGGCTGGAATATGCATGTGTGTGTGCATGTGCATATGCAGTGGCATGCAGTTGCAGTGCCAGCTCCATCTCCTGCGCCATAGAGGTTAGCGATTGCTCCTTTATGACTACTTGAATTTATGTACTCCCCCCTGCCGCAATCGATTACTGGCGACCATTTACGCGTACATACAAAAATGTGTACAAAGGTGATCGATGAGTGCAATGAAATTTGGCTCAGAGAACAACTTTAATCGCATTTCCAAAATTGCTTGGGATTTGCTTTAGGATCAGCTGCTAATCAGCTGTTCTGCTGAACAAAAACAAGCAAAAATGTTCATGTACACTTATGTAAGCGCATGTGTATTCATATGTATGTATGCATGTGTATGTCTGCATTACAAGCTGTCACGCCTCTGAGCATTTGGTAGTAGTCACAGGCAGAGAAGTTGATTCAATGAATTTCTCGTACGGAAAGTGAACATTTAGGAAAAGCGTAAAGAGCGTAAGGTATACTCGTCCGTACATTCATAGATATGTACATAAGTCAACGTATGTACATGGGCGTATGTTCTGAACCACTTATTAAAGATAATCCAAGCGCTGGATTCCCTAGATTTCTGTTATTTTGGTACTGGAGGAAGGTGTCTACAAACTATACACACATAAACACACACATCCACGCAAAGCCAGACGGTGGCACAGGTATGCGCACATGTATTCCCATTCTTTATGCCAAGGGGGCGCCGCCCCGCAAACATACAAACATCAAAGCAGTGCGTGAACGAAGAAGGAAGAGCAGAACATAGAACACAGAAAGAGAAAAAACCAGATGGGATGTTATGAGTCGCTGCGCATATGAAGCGACAATTTTTATACCCAGTACTTGGATAGTGAATATGTAACCATACGATTTATGGGACTTATAAAATATATTTCTGATCTATACAGAACACCAGAACCGTTACCAGAGCCTATACATACGTGCTTATACTCTCGCTCGAATTGCCATGTTCTTGCTGTTGCAAATATTTAGACGAGCTAACATACCCGAATTTCCGTTAAATACGAGGCATACAAATCCAAACGTAAAAAGCCCGCGCGAATACAGGTCGACGCTCGTTTGTTAGGGAAGCGCGACGCCAGCGCTGGCATCGGCATCGACCTCGGCGTCCGTCGCAGTTGTGGTCTCTCTTATGATTTTCGGAAATTCCATTTTGCTTTTGTGTGTGCATTTTTCGCTGCGGGGCTCCGTTTTTTTCCTGTTGTTGTTGCTCTGCTCTCTTCATTGCTGCTGTCTGCATATTAAATAAGCAATTAAAACAATTTGTTTCAATAAGCAAGATCTAACATGCACTCATTATGCTTTGGCCAATGTTAATATCGCTCTATGTATAATTTTTGTGTGTGTGTCCCACACGCTCTTTTGAAGATCCTCTCTTAATTCTGTGCATTTTTTTTTACTTTGGGTTGTTGTAGCTCTTTCGACTGTCATGACATCAAAAGTGGCCTTTTTAATACTTTTTCCCACTCTGTCAAGCGTGCTGTGTGTGGAGTGGGTGGTAACGGGCATTTTGCGGCCGTTTACAGTTAACATATGTATCTATGTATGTACACATGTACCTATAAATGTTAACATCAACATCCAAGTACTCAAACTAGAAATTAAATAGCAGGTGACCCTTTTACCAGCTGTTTTAGGGTTTTTTCCATGTGTATGCGTCCTCTTTGTGACGATGATTCGGTTATTAATTGGTTACATTATCGCATCCTAGTGATTCTTTATTTTGATTAAGGATTTAGATACCTGCCTATTTGTTCTTGCAGTTTACATTACAGTCGATACATACACACAGAAATACATACATATTTCATACGCAAATATACCGATGCAGAGCGATAGGCGTGTGTGTGTGTGTGTGTGTGTGCAGATTCCCTTGTGAGTGGAGTGTAAGTGCCCCACTTTATTGTCAATTCGGAAGTTTGCCAACAATTCCGCATCATCGCTTGGGCCAATTTCAAGGCACACTTGCACGTACACACACAACCAATTGTTTTGCATGAACACACACACACACACACACACACATATCTGTATGTACGTATGCATGTATGCCTGTGTGTTTCATTTTATTATCCGCTTTTACTGACTCTTCTCTGACTACGTCACTGGGCTCTGGACTGTGTTTTGTGTTATACTCATTGCAGGGATGATTACTATTAGTGCGAACAGATTTATGCAACGCAGCATCAAAATCCGCTACCTAATAGTAATTTTAACATAAATATGTACATATGTAACTGCAAGGGCATAATCTTGTCATCCTTCCTTTTTTGTCCGTTGTTATCACCTTTGTCGTAGTTGGACTGGAGTTGGAGTTAACGTCGACGTTTTCGTTTGCGTCGCTGCCGACGCTTTCGTTACTGTCGCGTCGTCAGCAGCTTCTGTTATTATAATTTGCTCCGTTTTGCGTAGTTTAAACCTGTTGTTGTCCGCGTTGTTGCGTTTGCTGCTGCTGGTATTGGCTTTGCTTTGCTTTGCTCTTCGCTTTGCTTTTTTTGCTGATATTTTTTTTCGCTCATTTTATTTGTTCGACTTTGAAGCGCGAATGTACAAACAGAAAGAGAAAGAGGAACAGCAGTACACGGCACACAATACAGACGAAGGCGTCGACAGAGAGAGGGAGAGGGAGAAGCGTCAAAGCATAAAACAGAAACAATTTCTATGCGACGCGGCGTGAGGAGTAACAATTGGGCCACAGAGCATAATCTTGCGTATCCATTGATTCTAGAATTACACATGCTAATTACAGTTTAAATATACTAACACTGTGATCGAAGTGCATACGGTTCCAAAGATTAAAATAAACAATGTATGTGTGTATGCATGAGTATGTATGAATGTAAAGCATACGTCCCTATCGAATGAGCACAGAAAAGTATTCTGCTGCTGCGCTGCCGCTCCACGCACGGTATTTAACAGTGATCACAATCAATAACATTTTCCGTGTTTTTTTATTGGTTTTTGAATGTTAACAGTTAACTTTCTACTTAGTATTTCTGTTTCGCAACTGGACAGAATGCAATTCCATTTTGTTGGTCTCAAGGACGTGGCACCGAAACTGCTGTTGCTGCTACCTTCTGGTCTCACTAATATGTATGTTCCCCTGCAAGGTACGCCTGCTACCGTTCCTGCCACTTAATTAATTGAAAACGTAACTTGCAAAGTAAAGGCTCTAACGCTCCTAATACTGCACAAATCACTTCAAATTGAAAACAACATACATATGTACATAGAAACACACTAACATACACAAGCATGCATGTGGCTTTATTATGCGATAAGTCGAGTGAGTGAATGAGAGAGGGGCTGCTCTCTACAGCCAGAGAAACTGAATCCAACCGAGCTGTAGCGAACCGAAGTGAAGTGCAGAAATGGGCAAACACGAACCGAGCGAGAACATACACACGCACGCACACATGAATGCACTAGCCGTATGATTGCCGATCACACAAGCCTATTGTATGGCGGGAGGAGGGTTGGGGTGGGGTGTTACTGCTTCTGTTGCTGAAGATTGCCCTTAGATCGTGTGCTGCTGCTGCTGCTGTTGCTTGTTCTCTCGTTCGCAAAATATTTTAAGACTTGTTCACTCACAAAGAGAATAAGCATTCGGATTGAAAAGAAAGTGTGCTGCGGCATGCGGTGATACAGTACACATTTAGACTCCCCTGCTCATCCCACTCAATTAACGTCGCGGCGTCCTCCCTCTCCACAACCCAAAAAGAAAAAAAAAATTCGTCCACTGCCAGCATAATTACCGTTAAGCGAACCATTGCCTTTGTCTTTGGCTCTGGCTCACTGTAACTGTAACTAGCGCGCTTTCTCTGCTTCGTTCGCTG